AAGGTGGCAAGCTTGGTCCCAAAACCCAGACCTGCATGTACCTGGGGCACAACTCCGACTCCCTAGACTACTTATTCCTCAACCCAATCACCAGACAGCTGATTCGCAGCCGTGATGTCGTCTTCGATGAGACACACCCATTCCACTCTGCGACCACGGGCGAGCCTCCTCCACCTCCTCCAACGCTTTTTTGGGCAGACTTCGATGCCCCACCTCCGGCCGCTGCCCCTTCTCCGGGGCCTTCTCCGTCCGGCGTGTCTCACCCGGCCTCCCCAGTATCCTCCGCAGTGGCACCTCCTCCTGCTCCGCCTTCCCCGCGCGTCGAGCCTGGCTCACCAGTCTCCTATCGGAGGCGCCCAGTCCCTCCGGTCCCACCTCAGCTGCCTTCGTCTCCGGTCTCTAGTCGCACTCGTTCCAAGGGACCGGCTCCGCCTCTCGCCTGGGGACCAGCCGCCTTCTCCATCCGGTGTTCGGTCACCCCGCCTCCTCCTGCCGGGGGTGATGTCCCCTCCATCCGTATTCCCCCCCGTGCACTTCTGGAGGACAGGCATGAGGAGCTGTTTGACCTTCACGCGGTCTGCCAATTTCTCTCTCACATCTTCCCGGACATTACTGACTGCCCTTCCCTCAACTTCACCGAGAACCCGACCATTCCGACTCCTCGCACAAAAGAGGAAGCTCTCTCGGGGCCTTATAAGAAGGAGTGGAAGGCAGCAATGGATGTGGAGAACGAGGCGTTCATTCGCAACAACATCTTTGACGATGTTGTTCCCCCTTCCGGTGTTAACATCGTCGGCGGAAAATGGATCTTCCGAGTCAAACAACTCCCAGGCGAAGCTCCACTGTTCAAGGCACGATATGTGGCGAAGGGTTTCACCCAGAAGGAGTATCTCGGCTTCTTCGAAACATTCTCGCCCACGGCCAAGCTCCCGACTGTGCGCGCTCTTCTTGATATAGCCGCTCGCGGCAACTTTGAGATCAAGTCCATGGACGCCTCCTCCGCCTTTCTCCAAGGCCAGCTCAAGGAGGATGTTCACATGGAACGCCCACCGGGGTTTCCTGGCACTTACCCTGCCAACACAGTGTGGAATTTGAAGCGCCCAGTGTATGGCCTCAAGCAGGCTCCTCGTGAGTGGCACAACAAGGTGAAGGAAGTCCTCCTCGCACTTGACTTCCATCCCTCTGCCTCAGATTCCAGTCTCTTCGTTCGTCACTCCTCTGAGCCCTTCTACATCCTCGTCTACGTCGACGACTTCATTCTAGCCGCCAGAGATCCACACTCCCCTGGCAGCTGTCCAGTCTGCTCTCAGCTCCGCCCTTCTCATGAAAGATCTTGGTGACCTCAAGAACTACCTGGGGATGGAGATCCGTTCTCCACATCCATTGCTGCCTTCCACTCCTTCTTATAAGGCCCCGAGAGAGCTTCCTCTTTTGTGCGAGGAGTCGGAATGGTCGGGTTCTCGGTGAAGTTGAGGGAAGGGCAGTCAGTAATGTCCGGGAAGATGTGAGAGAGAAATTGGCAGACCGCGTGAAGGTCAAACAGCTCCTCATGCCTGTCCTCCAGAAGTGCACGGGGGGAATACGGATGGAGGGGACATCACCCCCGGCAGGAGGAGGCGGGGTGACCGAACATCGGATGGAGAAGGCGGCTGGTCCCCAGGCGAGAGGCGGAGCCGGTCCCTTGGAACGAGTGCGACTAGAGACCGGAGACGAAGGCGGCTGCGGTGGGACCGGAGGGACTGGGCGCCTCCGATAGGAGACTGGTGAGCCGGGTTCGACGCGCGGGGAAGGCGGAGCAGGAGGAGGTGCCGCTGCGGAGGATACTGGGGAGGCCGGGTGAGACACGCCGGACGGAGAAGGCCCCGGAGAAGGGGCAGCGGCCGGAGGTGGGGCATCGAAGTCTGCCCAAATAAGCGTCGGGGGAGGTGGAGGTGGCTCGCACGTGGTCGCAGAGTGGAATGGGCGTGTCTCATTGAAGACGACATCACGGCTGCGAATCAGCTGTCTGGTGATTGGGTTGAGGAATATGCAGTCTGGGAAGTCGGAGTTGTGCCCCAGGTACATGCAGGTCTGGGTTTTGGGACCAAGCTTGCCACCTTGCTTCCTGCGCGTGTGGGGGCTTAGCAACACATACGCGGTACACCCCCAGACGCGTAGAGAGCGGGCGGAAGGCGTGACCCCAAGCCAGAGAGCGGTAGGTGTGGTGTCGGGCCGGTGGGGATGCGGATAAAGATTGTAGAGGAGTGCCGCATGGAAGAGGGCATATCCCCAGAGTGACCGTGGTGCGTTGGCGTGACTGAGGAGGGAGCGAGCGATCTGAACCAAGGTGTGGTTGCGGCTCTCTGCAATGCCGTTCTGCTGCGGGCTTTCGGGGAGCGTGAAGGTTTGCCGAATCCCTTGGGCCGCACAGAAGTTATCGAGTTTGCCATTGCGAAATTCTCCCCCGCCATCAGAATGGAGGCACTTCAGAGGAGTGCCGAACGTGACTTGAGCCTGGCGCACCCACGCCATGATGACATCAGGTGCCTCCGCCTTGGTATGCAGGAGGTGCACAGAAACATACCGCGAGTGGTCATCGACTAGTGTAAGAAAGTACCGATGACCGCCTCGGGATGCGACTGGAGCTGGGCCCCAGACATCCATGTGCACTAGGTCCAGCGGAGCAGCTGCGACGGATGGGGAGGAAGGGTGCGGCTGCTGCCTGAGCTTGCTCTTGGTGCAGTCCAGGCAGGTGGGTGCAGGGGAGTGTGTTGGTGGAGGAAGCGCCGACGGGAGGCCAAGAAGAAGTTTCTTGGAAGCGATGTCGGCAAGTGTACGGAAGTTGGGGTGACCCAAGCGATGGTGGTAGAGGATGGTTGGGTTGGCGAAGCTGCGACACGAACACGGAGTGGTGCTGGCAGCTTGCGCTTGGGAGAGGGCGGCGAGAGGTGCAGGTGAACGCAGCGTGTAGAGCTTGCTACTGTTGAGTGTGAAGCGTGCTAGGAGCTTGTTGGACTTAGGGTTGAAGAGGTCACAGTGATCCGAGTGTGCTGGGAAGATCGTGGTGACGCCTGCCCGTTGGAGCTCGTGTTGGGCCACGAGATTGTGGCGTAGTGTGGGAACACACATGCCAGTCACACTGCCCGAAGGAAAAGCTGGGCACGGAACTGTGGAGGAGCCCTTGGCGTGTGTTGTGAAACTGGAGTCTGCTCCAAGTAGACGGATTGGTGTCTCGTATGGCTTGAAGGAGTGTTCTTCCTTGAGAACCGTGTGAGTGGCCCCACTGTCGAGGGTGAACTCTATTGTGGCGTGGTTGGTTTGTGAGCCAGGATACTGCGAAATCGTCTCATTAATCATGGAAGTGCCAGGGAACAACATGTTGAGGCGCACATCAGCAGTGGGAGCTACAGCAGCCTGCACGGATTCCTGCGCTTCGACTTGATTGACTTGGCGAGGAGCACGATTGACCATCCAGCTTGGCGGCTTCGAGGCGGTCCCATTGACGGCATACCACTCGTTATCCTTCTTCTTAAAGCAGGAGGCAAGGGCGTGGTTGGTGCCCGCACACATTTGGCCAGCACGAGGGCCGCGCATGATGACGTAGGGACACGGGGGGAAGCGGTTGCGCTGGAATGGCGCCGAAGCGGCATAGGCTTGAGGCACAGGAGCGCGGATTGCATTGGCCTTGGCTTGAGCGCTGTTGTCCTTTTCGGCAGAAAGGAGCGCGGATGAGACCTTGGCAAATGTGAGGTCTGCAGGAGCAAGGCCCAAGAGCATCTTGCGTGTGACTTCGTATGCCGGAGTGAGGCCGACTAGGAGAGCGGCTGCAGGGGCTTGCTCGGGGAAGACTATCCCCAACTGTTTGAGTTCACCATGAATGGACTGCACCTTGGTGACATAGTCCGCCATGCCTGGCGAGTCCTCGAGCCGCACTTGGAACATGCTGGGGATGAGTATAGCAACTCCCACTGCAGTCTTGTTCAGGAAGCGATCCTCGAGGTAGAGCCAAATGGCGTTGGCAGACGGGTAGTTGTGGTAGGTTTCGACGAGTTCGGGAGGAGTGGTGCCCATGAAGACACTAATGACCGCACCATCGGCCTTCTCCCAATTCTTGTACTTGAGCAGTGCAGCAGCATAAACTGCTTCGGCGGCGGCATTAGCTGGATCGGCGGACCTCTCGGGTTTAGGAGGCTCTTTGCCGTCACCGATGTTGAGAAGTGTTAGGATTAAGGACAGAGTCTAGGTGAACTTAGGAGCTAGAATTACTCAAAATATAAATCCGAAATTCTGGACAGAAAAGTCGTCTTCACAAGAAACGACGTCGACAAAAACCTAGCCGTTGGAATGTCGCGAAACTTGGATATGTTGTAGCTCTTAATCTCAGCTACCGTTCCCAATTTGAATCACGTTGATTGATGAAGTATTCGCGACGCTATGGCTTTCGACGCACTAGGGGGTAAGCTGTAGGAGGAGAACTTAACTCAATCTCAAGAGTTCAATCAAAGTTCAAGAATCTCACAAGGAATTAGAGGAGCAAGAGAAATGTTGGGATAGAAAGAGAGGGATGAGAGGGAAGGTCCCAAGAGAGTCCCCAACCAAGGAAACCCCATAAGCACAAAGATTCCCTCCCTATAGGAACCCCAACTTTGACATTTGTCCCTTCCCAACCAATCCATCCAAGTTGGCCACCCTTGCCAACCTAGCTTGGTTGTTCCCAACCAATTTGCAGCTGTTACAGTAGAGTGACAAATTTCCCAAACCCCCAAAGGTCCCAACTCCATATAGAGTCACCCCACAACTTCACTTTGTAACCGCCGCAATTGTAACGCAAGCTCATGAACTTTGAATCTTCATAGCTTTCGCGTTCTTGCTCCGATTGAAGGGATTCTCGTTGCGTCGGAAAGATCTTCTCAAGATCTATCATCACAAAAAACCTGCTCAAACAAAATAACACAAAACACATTCCCAAACTCCAGAACACATCACACACAAATTCTTGCACACGTTCAAACCACACATGCAAGTTGAAAAAAATATGGGATGGGAGGCAGACAGAATGTGATAGCATATGATGACATCACACAACAATCTCCCCCTCTGGCTGCCAACCATCATCCACCATACCAACATCTCAAGCATGCATACTCAATGCACACTCATCCCAGCAAGCTTCATGCCCTTCCAATGATCCGCCTCCGCCAGACGCTTGGTGAAAATATCTGCTGCCTGCTGATGGGTCTTCACTATCTCCAGCCGCACCTCCTTATCAAGGAGTCTCCTCACCCAATGCCACTTAGGCCTTATGTGTTTTGTCAGCCCATGCAGACAAGCATTCTTGGCGAGCTTCACAGCGGACTCATTGTCACAAAACACAACTGTCGGCTTCTCCTGACCAACTCCCAACTCCTCCAACAAACGCCTTAGCCACACTACTTCCTTGGCCCCATGGTGTAAGGCCATGTACTCAGTCTCACATGAAGACAATCCCACCTCATTCTGCTTCTTGCTGCGCCAGCTCACAGCACCACCTCCTAGCAAGCACACATAACCCCCAATGCTGGTGCCATCCGCTTTCACTGAGTTGAAGCTAGCGTCAGTATAGCAACTCAAGAGCATCTCTCCACTCTTCACATCTGCAGCACCTCTCTGCAACCGCTGCCTCACTCCACTGTACTCCAATCCCACTGATGCCGTAGCGCTCACATAGCGGACCAACCTCTTGGCCGCTTCCAGCTGCTCATGACTAGGGCGTGAGACCACACTAGCCAATCGTGATGTAGCAAATGCAATGTCAGGCCGTGTATGATTTGCAGCAATATTCAGCGACCCAACCATCGAATGAAACAGCTTCCTGTCACTATCACCCACTACCTCCTCATCAGCACATGGCTCCACAGTGAACCCCGAAGGTAGTGGTGTTGCTGGCTTTCCCCCATCTTGCAGCCCATACTTCTCAGCCAGCCCCTCACAGTACTTCCTCTGGTGCAACCTCAGCACACCCTTCTCCACATCTCTCTCCACAGGCATCCCCAAGTAGTACTTCACCTCACCCATCTTGGAACACTTGAACTGCATCTCCAGCATCTGCTCTGCACTGTCCAGCAAAGCAGTTGATGCAGAAAAGAGAAGGATATCATCCACGTACACCAAGAGCATGAGGATTTCATCCTTCTCCTGCAGCAGGAACAGGCTGGGGTCACACTCACTCTTCTTGAAACCCCCAGCCAACAGCGCCTCCTCCAACTTGTGATACCATGCACGAGGCGCCTGCTTAAGGCCATAGATGGCCTTCTTCAGCCTGCAGACCCTGCCGCTCCCGTCATCCAGCCCCTCTGGCTGCTTCATGTACACCTCCTCCATAATGATCCCATTCAGAAAAGCAGTCACAATGTCCATCTGCCGTATCTTCCATCCCAGGAGTGCAGCTATCGCTAACAGCACCCTCAGTGTTGTTCCTTTCCCCACAGGAGCAAACACCTCATCATAGTCCTTCCCTTTTGTCTGCTGAAACCCCCTTGCCACAAGCCTGGACTTGTAGCGGGTCAGCTCCCCTTCAGGTCCATACTTGTGCCTGTAGATCATCTTGGAAGTGATTGCCTTCTTTCCAGGAGGCAAGTCACACAGGTCCCATGTCTCGTTCTCAATTAGGGACCCGAACTCCTCATCCTCACTCGCCTTCCACTTCTCCCCATTTGGTCCATTCAAGGCCTCCTCTCGAGTCTTGGGCTCAGGGATTGGTGCCCAGTAGCAGTGAGCGATCTCATCTTCCTCAATCTGCTCAACCACACTCCCAGCCTGCACCACATTTGGCTTGCCTCTTCCCCCATAGGTCAGCCTCACAGGAGGGCGCACATCCCTCCTAGGTCGCTCAGGCGGGTGTGGAACTCGAGGTGGAGACTCATGTTGCTGTTGCTGCTCCACTTCAGCTGCTCCCCCTTCTTCAGTCACCCCAGATATCTCCTCCTCAGACACTGCAACCTCCACCTGCCTTGAAGGCTGCTGCAACTCATCTGCCTCCACAATGAGTGGTGTAGATGGAAGCTTCTGTTGCTGCTGCTTCCATTCCTTATAGTACAGGGACTCAAGAAACTTCACATCCCTTGACACTGTCAGCTTCTGGATGGTCAAGTCCCATAGAAGCCATCCCTTGTGATCCTTTGCAATCCCCAAGTGCACACCCCATCTTCCAGAAGCCTCCAACTTCCCTCTTTTCTCCTTAGGCACATGAAACACTACCATGCACCCAAATGCCCTCAGCATGTTCACCGCTGGAGCACTCCCAGACCACTTGGCATATGGGATCCACTCCTTATCTCCAACTGTAGCCAGCACCCTATTCTTCACAAGGGCGACCTGCCTCAGTGCAGACACCCAAAACGGATCAGGTAGCCCTGCACGCCCAAGGAGAGTGCGTGCCCCCTCCTGCAGGGTCCTGTTGAACCTCTCAGCCACGCCATTCTGCTGCGGGTTGTAGGGCACTGTCAGTTGATGCTGGATCCCCTTCCTCTTCAACTCCCCCTCAAAATCAGCTCCAATGAACTCCCCACCATTGTCACTACGGATCACCTTCACCTTGTGTCCGCATTCCCTCTGAGCTCTCGGCATCCACTCCTTAAGGACAGCCGCTGCCACCTCCCCCTTGCTCTTCAAAGGGTAAACCCACACTGCCCGAGTGTGGTCATCCACAATTGTCAAGAAATAGCGGCTGCCTGAGAGGGAAGGGGCTCTTGTGGGCCCCACCACATCCATATGCACAAGTGCAAGTGGGGTCTTGGCTGGTCCTGTAGTGCTGTTGAAGGGGAACTTGGAGAACTTGGTCTCCAAGCATGTAGGGCAGCTCCCAATCTCCTTCACTCCCCCTTTCACCTCCAAGCCCTTCAGGCTCCCATCCTTCACCAACTTCTGCAGCATAGGGAAGTTCACATGACACAGCCTCTCATGCCATGTCTCCCAATCGGCCTCTCCACTCCTTGGTGAAGCCTTAGCCCATGCCGCACTTGCATCCACACCAGCAAGCACCTCACCATGTGTCTGCTGCTGCTGCACTTTCTTGACTGCTTCCAGGACCCCATCAGTTGGTGCAGTTGCATCTCCTCCTGCTGTTGCCTTTGCCGCTGCTGCCGTTGCTGCTGTTGGAGTCTTCCCATTCCATGGGATGATGGGCAGCTGCCACAGGTCCTTGATGCAGCTGGTCTCCTCTTCCAAACTCCACAGCACCTTCTTCCCAAGCTTAGCACGGCAGCTGGTTGGTCCAAATGTCACTTCGGCCTTGCTCTTCTGCAGTCGTCGCACAGAGAGAAGGTTAGCAGACAAGCCTTCAACCAGCAGAACATTCCCAAGCCCCACAAGCTCCCCATTTGCTCCCTTAACCTTGGCATTCCCAACACCAATGACAGGGAGCAAAGCACCTGACGCTGCTGCCACATACTTGATCTTCCCAGGGGGTTTTACCTCATCAAGCAAATCTGCCCGTGGAGTCATGTGACTGGTGCAACCCGAATCAATCACCCAGTGCATGAGAGGGTGCACATCCTCAACCATGAGATACATCCCAGGATAGGCGTTACCTTGTGCACCTTCACCTTGTGCACCTGAGCCTTGCACAGCGCCACCTTGTGCGCGTTCACCACTTGGCGGCTTCATGCCTGGAGGTGACCATCCCTCCAGCCTGCTGAAGCACTTGAACCAAGGATGCCCGACCTTCTTGCAGTACCAGCAGGTGCCCTCCATTCTGGTACTCCCCCTGCCACTGGAGCTCCCATGCCCCTCATTATAGTCACCTCGGCCTCTACCTCTGCCAAAGCTTCTCCCACGGCCTCGGCCTCTCCAACCCCCTCTTCCTCTGCTGCGCCCTGCAGCTCCATACCCCTCAGCAGTCTTAGTGGCAGCACCGCCTCCCACATGGCGTCTGCGGAAGTCCTCCTGCAGAATCTGCTGCCTTAGCCACTCAGGTGTCCATTGATCTTGCTGAGAGTTGAGGGTGGGGATGAGGTTATCCCACGAGTTGTCCAACACCGAGATGATCTTGGTGCACTGCTGCAGCTGAGATACACTGCTGCCCGCTGCTGCCATCCTTGCATAGGTGTCCTTGATCTTGTCAAGGACCGGCTTCACATCGTCCCCTGGTCGCATGGAGATGGCAGCAAGTTCCTTCTCGAGCACGATCACCATCAGGAGAGTGTTGGGCTGAATCACATCGCGTAGTAGTTTCCACGCCCTTGGACCCGAATCATCCGCTTCCACAAGATCCTTGATGTGCTCGAACATCTCCTTGTTGACCGATTGAAGGATGAGGTCGAAAAGCACCGTGCTTTTCTCAATCCACCGTTCACGTGCTTCGCCTTCTTCCGGCATCTTCTCTTCCCCAACAGCAATCTTCAGTAGCTTGTAGCGTTTGAAGGCACTCCTCATCCGTCCGCTCCATTCCTCATAGTTGGAGCCATCCAAAGCTTCAACTTTTGATGGCGGCGGCTCACTTGTCTTCTCAGCTACAGCTCCTCTTCCATTAGCATCTCCTCCTCTCTCATTCATCTTCTCCTTGAGAAATGACGAATTTCAGCCCCCCTTTGCTGTCCACACTCAGCTCCCTCGATATTTTCACAAGTGTCGGCGTCCACGAAATTTCGGCAGAGTTTCCCTTAGCGGAAGACACATCCAACCTTTAGAACACCACTTAGGCACACCCACAGGCCATGGTGGGTCTAGAAGGGTCTTCACACTTCTGTAGACTCCTCTCAACGTCCTTAATACAGCTCTGATACCACTTGTTAGGATTAAGGACAGAGTCTAGGTGAACTTAGGAGCTAGAATTACTCAAACTATAAATCCGAAATTCTGGACAGAAAAGTCGTCTTCACAAGAAACGACGTCGACAAAAACCTAGCCGTTGGAATGTCGCGAAACTTGGATATGTTGTAGCTCTTAATCTCAGCTACCGTTCCCAATTTGAATCACGTTGATTGATGAAGTATTCGCGACGCTATGGCTTTCGACGCACTAGGGGGTAAGCTGTAGGAGGAGAACTTAACTCAATCTCAAGAGTTCAATCAAAGTTCAAGAATCTCACAAGGAATTAGAGGAGCAAGAGAAATGTTGGGATAGAAAGAGAGGGATGAGAGGGAAGGTCCCAAGAGAGTCCCCAACCAAGGAAACCCCATAAGCACAAAGATTCCCTCCCTATAGGAACCCCAACTTTGACATTTGTCCCTTCCCAACCAATCCATCCAAGTTGGCCACCCTTGCCAACCTAGCTTGGTTGTTCCCAACCAATTTGCAGCTGTTACAGTAGAGTGACAAATTTCCCAAACCCCCAAAGGTCCCAACTCCATATAGAGTCACCCCACAACTTCACTTTGTAACCGCCGCAATTGTAACGCAAGCTCATGAACTTTGAATCTTCATAGCTTTCGCGTTCTTGCTCCGATTGAAGGGATTCTCGTTGCGTCGGAAAGATCTTCTCAAGATCTATCATCACAAAAAACCTGCTCAAACAAAATAACACAAAACACATTCCCAAACTCCAGAACACATCACACACAAATTCTTGCACACGTTCAAACCACACATGCAAGTTGAAAAAAATATGGGATGGGAGGCAGACAGAATGTGATAGCATATGATGACATCACACAACAAGAAGGACGTCGGTGAGCTCGAGCCCCTTCACCTCGCGACTGAGGAGGTGCTTGTCGACACCATAGCGCCAAGCCTTGTAGTTGGAGCATGTACCGTCCGGCTCGAGACGAAGGAGCGGGATCGGGTTGGCGAGTGAAGTGGTTGAGTAAGCCATTGTCGGTGTGCAGCGTGGAACTTCTGGAAATTGGTCGACGAGAATTGCTGAAAATCACTCTGACAGCTGTATCAAAATACCGCTAAGTAGGAAATGGCGTCGGCGAAAATTCGTTAAAACGACGACTTGAAACTGAATCTGAGCCTATGTCTAACCCCGGACCCACACACCCCCCCACACACCCCCAGGCCCTGTCCCGCAGCTACACAGCTCCGCAACCAGCTCCGCAACCAGCTCCGCAACCAGCTCCGCAACCAGCTCCGCAACCAGCTCCGCAACCAGCTCCGCAACCAGCTCCGCAACCAGCTCCGCTCCGCTTCAACCTGTGTACCTGCTCTTGATTTGACATTAGACGTTTGTGGAAGCGATTTTGCGAGGAGAGTTCGCCTATTCTGGCGGGGTCTGAGGGGAAACTCGAGAACGAGTTTTAAGAGATGGTCGAAATTGAGATTCGACCAAGGAGAACCGAGGAGGAAATCGACGATGAGAAGCGTGAAAGCTTCAGAGATGAGAAATTCAACGAGGTCAAGCGCGAAGGCGGTCGACGATGAGAGGCGCGACTGCAGAGTGGAGCACGTCGAAATTCCGACGACTCGAAATGAATGTCGCGACGATGAAGTGCTCGTAGCGCGGGCACGTTGAGATTAGGACCTTCATCCGCGTGTGCGGATAGGTCGCTCTGATACCATGTAAGAAATAGAGTTGAAATGATTGATTAGGTAAGGAGCCCAAGGCTCTATAAGGACACGGCAAGGTAAGAGAGAATGGATGAAGGGGGAAGTGGAGGGAATCCCCATTGGGATCTCCGGAATCTCCAATTGGGTAATTGGAGATTTGGGGGGATCACAATTGGGTGAGGTTGGGATTTGTGAGTACACCCCAACAAACTAGAACATTCATAACCTAAACTATGATATAAAAGTACAAATACAAAAGTGGTATTTGCAGTCTATTTCTAACAATCGTAACCTCTCTTTTGTACGGCATAGTGAAAAAGGAGGTGTACATAGTACAACCACTTGGCTATGAGGATGGAACCGGTCATGTATGCAAACTCAACAAGGCCATCTATGGCTTGAAGCAGGCACCGAAATGCTGGTACAACAGGCTGTCCAGCGCACTGGAAGGGATTGGATTCCGTGCGAGTGCATGCGACGAGAGCCTATTTCTAATGGTGCTTCTTGTGCTTGTGCTAGTGTACGTGGATGACATCCTGCTCTTTAGCAGCAATGACAAGGAGATCGATGGGGTGCAGCGGAAGATCACGGAGCAATTCAAGTGTAAGTCACTTGGGGAGGTAAGATACTACCTGGGAATGCACGTTGAGCGGGATGCTGAATGTGGCTGGCTCAAACTGCATTACGGACAGTACATCAACACCTTGGCTGAAACGTACTCTCTGCAGGAAGAACGGAAAGTGGCTACTCCTTTGCCTTCCAGGTTCAAACTCATCAAGGCAGCTAAAGGAGAAGGGGTTGCGAGTGAAGACCAGAGGCAATTCCAATCCATGGTCGGGAGCCTACTCTACGTTTCTGTGCATACTCGGCTTGACACCATCTTTGTTGTGGGACAGCAGGCTCGAATAGTGCAAAATCCAACTGAAGAGCAGTATGGTGCAGCAGAGAGAGTGGTGCGTTACCTCAAGTCCTGTCCTACAGTGGGAGTATAGTATTCAGCCTGTGCTCAACTCAGGCAAAGAGGAGTTGAAGCTCTCAAAGAGAAGGGGGAGCAACTCGAAGAAGGAAAGGTGTTCCTTTCCTGCTTTGCTAATGCCACATGGACTTCTGAGCATAAGGATTCATCGTCAGTTGGTGGATACATCTGCAGGGTGAGAGGTGGGCCTGTAAGTTGGAGGTCCAAGAGGCAGTCTGAAACGGCACTATCTTAAGTGGAATCCGAGTACATGGCGATGTTTCATGCGGCAAAAGAAATCATCTGGCTAAGGAGGCTCTTGAAGGAGATCAGACATGAACAGACTTGTGCGACACCTCTGTTCAGTGACAGGAAAGAAGCCATTTCTATGGCACGCAATGCAGTTCTTCATGGGCTGAATAAGCACATGAGGATCAATTGGCATTGGCTGCGGAAGGAGGTGAAGCTTCCGACACTGGATCCGATGTACGTGAAAACTCAGCAATAGCCAGCCGACTTCCTCACCAAGCGGCTAGCTAAAGAGCCACACTCACGTTGTGTGAAAATGGCGGGAATATCCTTCAACTAGAGATGGCGAGACAAGCCGATAGTTTGAGGGGGAGTGTGTTGGTGCATATTTGTTTGCACGCCATCCTGTCGTCTGTTCGCATCGTTTCGTTTGCATGTGTTTCATGTGCTACGTTGTTTGTATGGTTTGTTGGGTTTGCATGTCTTTGCATGTTCATCTTCTGCTTGTGCAGATGTTCTTGGATTGTGCATGACATCGAGCACATTCCACCGAGCCAGGAATTGTTGGAATCGGAGCACATATGAAGAAGTTACGAAGAAATGTTTGATGGATTTGTTACAACTTATAGGAAGTCCTTCACAGCTGCTACACCAAAGTTGGCGAGCCTGATAACGAGGAGGGACTAGCATGTGTGGGAATTTTGTCCTCACCTTGCAGCTGCAGCATTTGAGGTTTGGATGCCAACCTGGCATAGTGTGAATTTTGTCTTGCCAGGTTGATTGAACTTGAGGATGGAGAGTTAAGACTTTGACTCTTGTCATGTTCTTAACCAAGGGCCTCCAGGGTCCTTCCCTTTCATCCTTCCCCTCCTACCCCATCTTCCAACTTTGCTTCAATGTTTCCGTCATGCCTATGAACTTGTAAGCTTCAATGTTTGTGAGTCTGAGGACTGTCAATTTCTCCTAAGGCAGCTTACTCCCCAGTGCGCCAAATGCCATAGCTCACTCGCTAGACTACGGAATCGAGTGATTCAGCTTTCATTGGAAAGCTGACGTTGCAAGCTACAAGATACCCGATTTTCATATTGTTTCACTAATTGGATTTTTAGATATAGCTTCCGAATGTCGCGAGTTTTCTGGGCATCATAACGAAGTGCTGCAGAAATTTCTAAGGAGCCATTGAATGATCTGCTAATGGTCTTCTCTCACCAACAGGTTGCACCGAGGGTGCATGGCTGGTGTCCGGCCAATGATGGGTAAAGTACCAATTCTGCGGTGAGTAACAGCCTCAAGGTAAGTACCAAACGTGGGTTGAGTTCCGCGTCTAATGGAAGTGCCAGTCCTTGTCAAGCAACAATGCTAAAAAATTGTGGTGGCTACAACAATACATTGAGTGCATGTTTAGCAAAACTCTTCATCAGGCAGAAAATGTGTGGGGGGACAAGGAGCTAGTGGCGAGAAAGGTGCCTCAAATAAGCACGATGAGTATGATGAAAGCCAGGATGAATGCGCTGGGCTGTCTCGGCAGAGTGGAGGCTAGGCTATGTGGATTTTCGGTGAGAATGGCAGAAGACATCATCAAGACTGCGAGAGAATACCTCAAAGTCCAGCTGCAGAAGCTGAACAAGAAACAAATCGAGTGAGTTAGTGCGTATTCTGCTCGTTTTGTTATTCCATTAACATCCGCTCGGAATTTTGAGGTGCACTCGGTCTCTTGTTTGTGTTGTTTGTAGTGAGGGCAGAGATCAGCACCGAGGATCTCTTGATGACTGCTACACTGCGGCAGAGTTCAAAACCCTGAATGATACCATTTTGCAGGATTTCTACTCGCTGACAGTTACAGCGCCATTGTAGTGTTTGTGGAGGCCTTTGACGGTGAAGGTGATGATACTGATGGCTCACCAGATGCTGGGTAGGGATTGCAGCATACGGAAGATTTGGTTTTCGAACATGTACCTCAAACTGATCCCAAGCAGCAGAATGGCGGAAGAACCAGATGTCCCTGTCCTCATCGTGGCAGCCCATCGAACGAAGACAAATATGGATAAGTTGAAACACCAGTTTCTCGCACGGTACCTCAATTGGCAGCAATGCTGTTTGGGCCACGTTTTCTTGTGGATCCACTTTCTGTACCACCTGGATTATCTGCGCTACCCTAGCAAAGAGCCACTCGTACCACCTCTTGACTTAAGAAATTTGTACGAAAAACACCTGCTTTTTGCCTGGACAAGAAGGACCAGCCTGAGCTGCCATACGCGATGCATTACAGATGGACAAGGTGGGCAATGAAGAAGGCTAGTTGGTTAATCAGCAAAGTGACGCACATCTTCAGACGCTGTGCTGCACGGAATCTGAGCCTCGGATGCTGTCCCGATTACAGGATTGCTGCCCCTGGTGGCTGGGAGCGGGGCGTGATGTGCAACTCTTACCTCAACAACATACCGCACGACCCTTTGTTTCAGCAGGCAGGATTCAGTGGTGAGGAATTGGATTACTACATCGGTAGAGCTTACGCACCCGTGTCGAAAGAGTTGGAGGTGTTGTTTGAGGTCTACATCTACCCTTGGCTGACTGCCGCGATGAAGGCGGTGACCTAGTTTTCATTTGCAGCATGTGGTTTCTATGAGTTCCCGGCAAAGTGTAAGCATCATATTCCTCCGCTGTTCTTCCGTTGCGTTGTAGGTGGATGAATGGAACAAAGACATGAACAGCCAGTACATGCATCAGTCAGGGAAGAGCTTCCTCAATAGCCTGTTGAATCACGGAAGGAGGATTGTCGTAGAAGATCTGGCGATAATGTGGATCTATTATCCGAAAAGCCCTTTCAATGGCATCACACACCCGTGCATCTGCGAGAGGCGCCCTTATGTCGAAATGTCACCACTCTGCAAGGAGAACTTGTTTCAGTAGTGGGTGATCACAATAGCCAACCCTGACACCTCCGACAAATAAATTCGGATGAATCCATTACAGTCAACAACCTATGTAAAAACAAGCCTTTCTTTTACAAACATCACCGGCATTGTGGACGTTGCATGTTTAAGTGTTCCGCAGAGAAAGGGGTTTAAGAATGTTCTGATGTGGCATAGTGGGTATTGTACAGAATGCCATTTATCGGCTCAAGAGCGACCACAAGATCACACAGCTGCATGCAAAGAAGGAATTGTTGAGGAACCATGCAGGAAAAGAGCTGGTTGAGAATGGAAAGCTACAGGCGGAAATCGCGAGACTGAACTCGGTCGTCTCTGATGGAGTCGAGAAGCAGCAGAAGTTGGAGGAGAAGAATGCACAGCTGCGATCGAACATCGAAAAACTCAAGGGCTCTGCAGGCGGCAATCGCACGCACACATGCTCAGCGGCAGTTGGGGCAATGCAATCAACGAGGCCGCAAGCTGGCCAGACTACGACACCATACCAGGCCTTCTTTGATGCTATCATTTGCCTGTGGCGTGACTACAAAACCATAAAGTTGGCATGGGACTACTGGGTGACGTTGACACGCGTTTACATGTTAGTCTGGCAGAGTCTCTTTGTGTGCGTAAAACCCAACATACGATTTTGCCAATAGTACACACGGCATAGGTCAGTCACGGAAAAACGAAGTGCCTAGCAGAGACATTGACGGCAGAGTTTACGTGACGGAGTGCAGCGCTGCGCAGAGTAACAAGCATAGCCTATGGGAAAAGTTGGAATATAGCCTAGCATATGCACCAGCATTGCTAGGTCGCCTCAACCTCTGCCCCATCATGCCCCGCACCCCCTCCTTCCATCTGCACCGCAACCTCATCCCCCGCCCCCACATTCTCTTTGTCCTTCTGCCCCTTGCGTTTTTTCTGAACAATTATTAATGTTGCCAGGTTTGCTGACACGACGCCATAGCGGTTCTAGTACAGCACCACACGCGTGATGACTTTGACGATGCTCTGAGTGTCCTCATCTTTGTTTGCTCTGCATAGTCATTTTCATCATGTCCGGCCCTTGCTGCCGTTGTAGCCATCCCAAGCCATTCCTCCTCTGGGATTCCGAGGGATGCAGCCCACAGCGTGTACAGTGTGGCCGCCATGCCAGCAGCGTACACGAAGTGGATGACACCCATCGGCAAAGTCGGCATCCCTTTCCTGCCACCTGCCGCCGCACGGGACACCCCTGCGCAGAGAGGGTGATCAGCCAGTCGACGTTTTTCTTGACCAGGTTGTCCGACTTCTACACCACCTTGACGAAACTGCCCAAATGGGATACAATGGAGATAGCGTATTAATAGTGCTAGAGACGGGGTGAAATTCATGGGTGTGACAAGAACAGCTTGCTAACTCACAAGTCAAACCTGTCAAGGAGCAGTTCCTTCATGACGCTCCACACGCCAATGGGCAGCTTTCTTGCGAAATCAAGAAGCTCAGCCCAGTCAACGTGCTTGGGGTCGATCCCGTAATGCACTAGATCGACGTTGGCGAAGTAGGCAGACCCGCAGACTGCGAGGACAAAGTTGCGGTTCCAAGCATCTTTGTGGCACCCAATGTTTCGCGTCTTGCCGGCCATGGTCTGCTCGGAGGTGTGTCGCTGCTGCGGGGTGTCCTTGAATCGGATGGAGAACCCGGCGTTTCTGAAAGGCCACCTCAGGCCTCTCCTCTTGCCCTCGTCGTCTGGTGTTACATAGTTCTGATCCTCTGGCTGCCATGCATGTGTCTGCCCCTCCAATTCTGTTGCTTCCTCCCCACAAAAACTCCGCCACCGCCACATTTTGCCGCTGTGTCTCCGGCTCCGAAGCACCCTCCATCTGTGGCTCCGCCACAATGCCACTGTCCTCTGCCACCATCTCATGCAGCTCCGACTGTCCCGTCTGCCGCTCGGGGGCCGTTTGTTGCTCACTCTGCCATTGCCTCTGCTTCTCCCACAGCTTCTCCGTACTCCTCCCTCCCCCCATCTCCCAATGCCTCTGCTGCTCGGCTGTCATATCCTGCTGTGGCCTCTCCTGCTCCCCAAGTTGCTCTTCACTCTCTGGCTGTTCACTCTGCTGCCCCCTCCTCTGCCCCACAGCACTCCCATCCCTCTGCCGCTCCTCATGGTGCCGTGCAAGAAGTGCTCTGAGTGGCATATCGTCCTTTGATTCCTCGACGAGTCTCTCATCCACCGACTCCCTCGTTTCACGCCCGGCTGTTGGCAGATTTCGAGGTGGGGCTTGTTGGGCCCGGCAAGGTTTGGCATGCATGGTTCCCTGTTGCTCCCCTCCTTGCCTCCTCTCCCCTGCCCCTGTCTGCTGTTCTGCTGCTGCCCTGATTCCCAACCCCTGCAGCTGCCCTGCTCTCTCTTGCTCTGCCCTCACCCGCTCCCTATGCTTTCCCGCCACTTATCGCATTCCACACTCCGCCTCTTCCTCTGCCGCTCCCTCAGATTCTTGCTCTCCAACTCCTTCTGCTGCTCTGCCCTTGCGTTCTCCCTCTCCCGTTCTCTCAGCTCCTCCCGCACCCTCCCCTTGATTCGCAGCAATCTCACCCTCTCCCGCTCTTTCACCTCCCTCTCCCACGCTCTCTGCTGCTCTGCTGCCCTTTCTTGCTTCTCCCTCTCCCCCGTTCGCCTCTGCTCCGCCATCCTATCTTGCTCTCCCCCTCGTGAACCTCTCTGCCGCACTTTGTCCTGCTCCTCCCTCTCCCGCACCCTCTGCTGCTCAACCCCCATGTCGTGGTTTGCCCATTGCCTTTCCCTCTGACGCAATACTTCCATCTCCGCATTCCCCCTCTCCCTCTGCCGCCCTGACACAATCTTTGGCTGCTCACGCTGTCGTCCCCTTCCCCTGCCCATCGCCTTCTCCTCGCTCTGCCACCCCCTTTGCACCTTCCTCAGCCACCCACCAAACAGCTGCCCCTTTGCCTCATCCTGGTGGTCATCCCCTGCCTCCCCTTGATGCTTTTGGCAGCATTACATTGCTGCTCTTGCTCTTTGTCTCGCTCCCTTCCCCGCCTCCTCCCACCCACATCTCTGCCTTGTTCCGCCGCAACCCTCCCCGTTCGCCCTCCATCTCTTGGTGCCGCCACTCAGCCACCCTTCGAGGTGCCACTTTCCTTGCCTCCTCTTTCCGTCTCTCCACCTCCCGTCTCTCCTCCCTCAGCCTCTGTGCCTCCATCTCCCGCTCTTGCATCTGCCTCCCCGCCCTCCTTCCCGCCTTGCCTGTCGGCGATCTGTGGCCTCTGCCTAATGGACTTGACGACAAGTCGGAAACCCCGACACCCCTCCCCCCCCCCATCTCCCTCTTGTGCCGGTTGCTGTGACGACTCGTCAGAATCTACCCACACTTCCACTACCCGCTGTGCCTCGGCAACCTGGCAGTCTGGCGAGTCGAGTCCTCTCATGGGTTGTTGATCCTCACCAGCTGCCAGGTGCACTGTGGGCTCACGCCTGGCAGATGACGCGCTGGCAAGGGGAGTGGCCCAAGAGGGTGGAGGAGCAGCAGCCGGAGCTGTAGGGGAGAGATTGGGCTGGTTTGGAGGAGTGACCGGCACAGCAACTCTCAGACGCGACAGGATTGACGCACGAGCCAGGGTCTATTCTACTGCCATTTTCACTGTATCACTCGGTGTCTGGCGCAACGATTGAGACTCCCTGGCGAGGTTGGCTCTCGCAGCTGCCATGAGCCGCCACATTTTGCCAAGTGATGCCTTCAATCAAAGATTCTCCTCCAGCAATCTCTGGGCATGCGCGCTGTACTTGCGCTCCCACTCCTGCATGGTGCTGTGCAGGGCATTGATGTCATCCAGCTGTGAGCCGACCTCCTTCGCCGTCCGCAAAACTGCCCGGAGGAGGATACTCTGCCTTCGTTGCAGCAGAGCCAGCGAAGGACCGACTCCCAACAGCCCCTGTTCCCGCTCCAGCCTCAACATACCCATTGTCTGTCTCCTCGTAAACCACCGCTTGGCCCGCCTGCCTGTCCACTGCCAGCAGCTGTTCCAAGTTCCCCCACTCAACGGTATCTGCTGCTTCACGTGTCTCCCACTCTGCCCCATTCCGCTGCTCCTCCCTCACCTCTCAGCCTCTTCTTCCTCCTTCCTCCGCCTCTCTGCCTCCATCCTCTCTGCTGCCTTCTGCTGCTCCTCCCTTCACCACTCAGCCGCCTCTTCTTCGTCCTTCCTCCACCTCTCTGCCGCAATCCTCTCTGCCGCTTCATGCGCCTCCCTCTCTGCTGCCTTTCGCTGCTCCTCCCTTCACCGCTCGTCCTCCTCTTCTTCCTCCTCCTCCGCCTCTCTGCTGTGATCCTCTCTGCCTCCCTCTGCCGCTGCATGCACATCTCTCTCTGCCACCTTTCACTGCTCCTCGCTTCGCCGCTCGGCCTCTTCTTCCTCCTTCCTCCGCCACTCTGCTGTGATCCTCTCTGCCTCCCTCTGCCGCTGCATGCACATCCCTCTCTGCCACCTTCCACTGCTCCTCGCTTCACCGCTCGGCCTCTCTTCATCCTTCCTCCACCTCTCTGCTGTGATCCTCTTTGCCTCCCTCTGCCGCTGCATGCACATCCCTCTCTGCCGCCTTCCAATGCTCCTCGCTTCGCCGCTCGACTTCTTCTTCCTCCACCTCTCGCTGTGATCCTCTCTGCCTCTCTCTGCCGCTGCATGCACATCCCTCTCTGCCGCCTTCCACTGCTCCTCGCTTCGCTGCTCAGCCTCTTCTTCCTCCTTCCTCCACCTCTCTGCTGTAATCCTCTCTGCCTCCCTCTGTCGCTGCATGCACATCCCTCTCTGCCACCTTCCACTGCTCCTCGCTTTGCCGCTCGGGCCTCTTCTTCCTCCTTCCTCCACCTCTCTGCTGTGATCCTCTCTGCCTCCCTCTACCGATCTGCCGCTTCATGCGCCGCCCTCTCTGCCGCCTTCCGCTGCTCCTCCCTTCGCTGCTCAGCCTCCTCTTCTTCCTCCTTCCTCCACCTCTCTGCCTCGATTCTTTCCACGTCCCTCTGTCACTCCGACGCCTCAGGCCCCTCCTCCCTTTTTTACAACGCTCCTCCCTCTGCCGTGCAGCTTCTCATCCCCCCGCATTTTACATCCTTCGCCCTTTCCCGCTCTGCTGTCTCTTGCTTCTGCCGTTCTCGCTCTGCCGCCTCCTGCTTCTCCCTCTCCTGCTCAGGTGCCTCCTGCTTCTCCTTCTCCCACTCTGCTGCCTCCTCCCCTAGCAGCTCCCGCTCTGGCTGCCTCCTGCTTCTCCCTCTTTTTTGCTTCTCCTGTTCTGCCGCCTCCTCCTTCTGCCGCTCCTTCTCTGAGACTCCCTTCTTCTGCTTCTCCTGCTCTGCTGTCTCCTCCATCTGCCACTTTGCTCTGCTGCCTTCTTCATTTGCTTCTCCCCCTCTGCTGCTGCCTGCTTCTGCCACTCTTGCTCTGCCGCCTCCTGCCTCTGCTGCACTCTGTTACCAAAAAAAAAAAAAAAAAAAACTGCTTAAGAAACCCAAAACATTGTGAAAACACTATGCCAGATACCCCCTGGGAGAAATGGGCGAGCTTTTCTATGAAGTTTGCTGCTCCAAGCAGCATACCTGGAACGACTGCTCGAAGGGAATCCGTGCGGAATCGGATGTGGATTGGGGTCGGACTGTGGGACCACAGGAAAAGGACTCCCCCCGATCCCCATCTCAAGCCTCAGAGTGATACCGTAAACCTCTCCCCATGTGTCCCACGTGTTGCAACACCCATATGACGTGCCCAAATCAGACAACATACCATCTCACCATGCAGTCACACACGACACAGTCTGATCCCATACATATACGTTTGTCAGAGTAGCGAGCCATACAGGCACACCAATGTTGGATATACGAAGTGTACCACCGAATTCTACAAATGAAAAACATATGAGCACAAGCCAAATAGTCGTGAGGCTCACATCACGCGCCACTATTCGCGGTTCGCTGTCGCACATCGCGCGCCGCACTAGTAATAATTCCGCCATCACGTCAGTTAATCCCACACTTTATATTGCCCGTAATTGCCACCACAGATTGGTCACACCTAAAAGCTGTGTCTATTTGATAAACATCCATGTGTCACAATCACACAATGGCCCAACGAGCTTAGGGCTAACACTACTAAACAACAACAAGCGGAACCAAACAAGCGTGACCAAACAAGCGGAGTCAAACAAACGAAACCAATCAAGCTACATTCATCGACAACACTATCGCTTGCAGCTTCAAACACGCAGCTGCAATCGCAAACCACAGCAGGGCAAGGCACAGGAGAAGTAAATTAGAGAATCACAGCAAGGCAATGCATGGACACTATGCATCGAACCACATGTCCATCACTACAAAAACTGAGGATCTGTCAGCATGCCATCTCACCTTCAATGGTCTATATCCACTCGGACTGCCCCAGGGCCCCGATACCGTCTCAGCGTAAGAGCGCGGGACAGGGATGTCGAGAGGCATCTAGGTCGCCCTCTGGGAATGCAAGCATGGAGCAGAGATGGGGTACAACGGCAGCAAGGTAGAGCGAATTCGTACTGCATGTTTTCTAGCACGTCACTGCCAAGAGCAGGTGCATTCCCCGACAGACGGAGAACAGGCCAGTACCAGAGACCAGGAGCGGCAGCATAGTCAAGGCGTGGCTGGCAGCGAGTCAGCGACAAGATGCACAGACAGTCTCAGAGGAGCGGGATAGGGTCAGTGCCAAGGGACTAAAGCAAGTGAGAAGAGGTGGTTAGGGCGAGTGAAGTAGTGCGAGCAGGGGTCAAAAGGGAGAGGAGCAGAGGGACGGACAGCGAGTGGACGACGGAGAAGGGTAACGGCAAGGACACGGATTGTAGGGAGCACGAGAACGAAGGTCCATTATGGTGGCACGGCACGAGGAGAGACAAGATGAGCACCAGCAGGGACGACGGATCTTGTGGAGGAAGAAAGGTGACTGGGGACGAGGGGTGAAGAGGGACAGGACAGGGGGACGGAGGAGAGCAGGGGGAGGAATGAACCGGAGAGGAGTCCGGGCGGGAAACAGCAGGCGATAAACAGGGTTCACGCACCGGAGGAGGACCGGGCGGTCGGTGGTCAGGGGAACCAGGAGCAAGACCAAGGGAGACGAAGAGGCAGACTGCGGCTGCTGCTGCGGTGCGGCGGCTGCTGTGGCTCCCTGTCCTCGTCAAGACTTCCAGCGCCACCTCGGCTAATGCCAGTACTCTCCAGAACAACACCCCCCAGGACTAGGTGCCACCCACAAAGTTGGCACCCCCCAGAGCCCAATGCCCCCTGCTGCTGCTGCTACTGCGGCTGCTGAGTCTGCTACGGCGACTGCGGCTGCTGCTGAGGCAGGGGGGAGGCGGCTGAGGTGCCTGGGCTACCGGGGCTGGGGGAGGCGCCACAGAGACACCAGGTGCGCCCCCAGCCACTGGGCCCCCAGATTTAGTGGACTCCCCCTCGGGCCCAACCGAGGGGAACGGAGTGGCGTGGGAGACACCAGACGGGACCGGGCGGGGTGGGAGGGGTGCTGGAGGCGGGGCAGGGACGAGGAACAGAGAAGGAGGAGGAACAGGAGCACTGCAATACGGGAAGCGCTGGTAGTAGGGGAGCGTCTCGTCTAAGGTCACGTCACGAAAGTGGTAGAAGCTGTGGTGTACCAAAAGGTAAAATAGCTTGTCAGAGGCATCAAGTGGAAACTCTAGGAAGACACAAGGAAGGGTGCGGGCTGAGAGCTTGTCCGCGCTAGTGTTGCGGACGTGAGCAAGGCTACCCCAGACGTGAACGCGAACGCGTCACCAGAGACCCAGTCCAGAGACGGGTCGACGAAACCTGTGGTTGTGGGGAGCACAGCCACAGGTTAAGCTGATGAGGTGCGTAACACATGGCGAATGGCCACATAAAATGGGGTGCATCAGCGTGGACCATGGAGGTGCGAGCTACCTCCATGACCGGGCCGATGCATCGCTCAGCGACTCGATTCCGCTGTGGGGAGTCCGGCACTGTGTATGTCTAGCAAATGCCAGAGGCGAACTCTCCACCACGGCCAGAGTGCAACCAGACTACGAGCAGGCGGTGCTGGACGCGAACAGCAAGAAGCCATGAGAAAAGAACGGTAGGCACATCGGCCTTCCGCTCCAACGGGAGCACCTTGGTGAAATGCGAAAAGTTTTTCAACGACGACTAGGAATTAGTGCTCCCGACTAAGACCATGGACTGGGGCAGGGCCCAAGACGTCCATGTGCAGATTCTGTAGCGGTGCTATGGTAGGACATGTGCCTAAGATGCGTGATTGTAGGGTGACCTATGCGGTGGTGCCACAGTTGGGCGAGTGAGCGACAGGAGCAGGACGCGGTGACCTCAGAAGACGCAGCAGCCAGTTGGGACTCAGGGTGCACTGTGAAGAGATCGGACGCAGGGTTATGCTCAAAAGTGGCTAGGTGGTGACCGGTGGCTGTGTCTGTGCAAGCTGCGTGTCTCTCGCGGCCATGGAACATGGTGGTGACTCCTCGGTCCTGGAGGTGACCGACACCCACTTGGTTTCTGGCAGACGAGGGGATGTGCAGACCGGTGAGGGAGCCGGAGGGGACAGCCGGACATGGGAGAGGGGTGGTGCTGCGTGCGACAGCTGTGGTGGAGGAGTCTGCTAGTGCAACACGGGCAGGCGCGGGGAGCAGGTTGAGAGCAGTGCTTGTCTCTATAGAAGGAACGGGACGTGCCAAAATCTAGGATGAAGAAGAGGCCCACGTGGCGGTGCCCAGTGAAGTAGCTCTAACAGATCCTATGCCTGACGCAGCAGGGGAGTCTACGCCTGACGCAGTAGGGGATTCTAGACTACACACAGCAGTGGCTCCTAGGCTACAAGCAATAGGATAATAGGAACCATCAATACTAGAGTCATCAGCATACAGAGAATACTAGGCATGATTGATCTGAATCATATTTATATAAAAGATAGGAACCCCACAACGAAGCAAGGCCAGCCGGGGAGGTACCTGCACCAGCGGGCCGAACTGATGGCGGTAGAGGTCGTCGAGGCAGCGGTAGTAGCGGGCGGCGATGTGGCCCGGGCGGTTGCAGACCTAGCCAGCCTGGGGGCTGGTTTAGCAGCCGGTATGTGCAGGTTGCCGTGCCGACAGACCGCTAGCACCCTGGCTTGTAGTGGAGCCACGTGACCCCCAGGCACCGACTGCCCAGGGACCCCAACCTCCACGGCCGCCACCACGGCCACCATTCCCAGGGCCCGCCAGCCCCCACGGCAGCTGCGTCTGCTGCAGCAGCTGCTGCTGCTGCTCAGTCCCCCACTCCAACTGACCACCCTCTCTCTCTGCACTCACACCCCTCCACCCGCTACTGTCGACCCTCCACGGCCCTAGCCCCCCTTGCCCTTGCCCTTGCTAGAGTAGCCTGGGGCAGAGGCAGCCGTTGCAGTCTCGGCAACAGAGGCGGAGGCAGGAG